TTTTTTTTTTTGTTTTGGATGCAAATAAATAGTTTGACAGGATAGATTCTCGACTAACCTTTAATCCAGCTTCCTCGGAAAGTCACTTGATAGATTAAGAAAGAAATCCTACGATGCCTTTTTGATCAGATTTGTAGGTAAGTAACATGACATTATACTGCCGTCTGTGATGAACAAATAGGTCAATGCCCTTTCTATAGCATTACAGGCATTCTCAGTCTGCATGAATCTGAATGGCTGACATGTCAAAACAAATAAGACCCGGATAGACAATTTTATTGGTGTTTTTATAGAATTTTTTTTTCTTTTGTGTGTAATTTCTTGATTTTATCTTAACTGAACTGACTGAGGATTACCACGCGTTTTTTCATAGGAGTTTTACAATTTCAAGTTAGACACAAACACATCAGGCAGAAAAATACCAGGGTGGCAGGAAATGCACAATGATGATACACCCTGTGAAAACCAATCAGAGGCATTTGATGGTCAAGACGACCACTCCTCTTTTTTGTCACTTAAATGTCAGTTTTCCGATGAAGACAGTGTCATGATGGTTCTCTTATGGGTTACACTGCTTCTTCTACATCACGGCTGTAAGTTCTGCCTGCAGGAATCATAATGTCAATCATCCTTTAAAAAAGAATTGCACGATCACTATATGTCTAACTGTTCTTTCTCTTGTTTTTCATTTATTGCAGACACGTTGGCTCCAGTGACCACAGTTCATCTTGGTCTTCCTGTGACATTGACATGTCCTGTGGATGAGGAAATTAAAACCAGCACGGAAATGTACTGGTACAAGCAGAGCATAGGGGAAAGTCTGAAATTAATTGCAAAGCTGTATAAAAAGGGAAAACCTACTTATAGTTCAGGAGAAGCTTCTGCCTCGAGACTAAACATGGTCTTTAATGGGAAATCCATTAGTCTGACTATTTACAGGACTGTCCCAGAAGATGAAGGAATGTATCACTGTGCTATCATTGACTGGTTGAAAAATACTTGGAGTGGAACCTATTTGTTTTTAAAAGGTAATTACATGATCTATTAATGAACTATTTGTTATCTCTTTAGACAGAAGGTGATGTGCAGCTGAATTATTTGAGAAAAATGACAGAAGATTGTCATAAATCATTACAAAGGCATGAGTTATTTAAATAAATGATATTTTAGGTGTTTTACATTTGTTTTGTTAACACGACTAATGATATTATTATTTACGCTTACCAGCAGTTCAGGTACGTTTTAGGTATATATGGTTATTTGTAGTGGAGGGTTTGTACAATACTGTGACCCAAAAAATATATTTTATCCAGAAAACAACAAGATTTTAACAGAAATTGTGTTTAAGATCTCACTTTTCTCACAGTAAATATATATAATATACAAAAATGTATAAAAGGAAAAAAACAAAAAAACAATGACTGATTGAGCTCCAAAGATTGAGGTAATACATGTACAGTACAGACAAATAAACTTTTTTTAATGAATTTTTTTTAGGAAATCATCTGAGGATGTCAAACTACACTGTTGTCCAGTCGCCACCCGCATTCGATTCAGACCATCCGGGAGACTCAAAGACTCTTCAGTGTTCAGTCCTCTCTGACTCCGAGAACCAGACATGTTCAGATTTCAGTGTGTTTTGGGTCAGAGCTGCATCAAATAAACTGGATCCACACATCATTTACTCTAATGGAAGCAGGGCTGATAAATGTAACCAGAAAGCTGACACTCAGAGGAAATGCGTGCATCACTTCTCTAAGAGCATCAGCTCCTCTGAAGTTGGGACTTACTACTGTGCTGTGGCCACATGTGGAGAGATATTATTTGGAAATGGAACCAAAGTTGAAACTGGTATGACTTACTTTTCAATACATTATAAAATACTGATGTTGATTTGATCTGTTAATTGAAATGTGACTGAGGTATTGCCTTTTCTGTTTGTTTTCTGCATGCAAACAGTGGAATCGGAGTTTACTGCCCTGATGGTTGCGCTAATCTGTCTGGGCTTTTCTGTGACTGTAAACATTGCTTTGATTAGTTGCTGCACAAAAACAGCATGTGGAAAAGGTGAGTGAGTATTTACGGACACTTTTCTCTTATTTTAATGATTACAATATAACTTTTGTTTGTTTTTCATGTCAATTTTCGATTCACACGTAGAAATTAGATCAGGTGAGTGATTATGTTGTATTTCATTATTAGGACCAAAAAACAACTCTTCACAAAAAAGAGATGACAACAGAAGCAAACCTAGAGATGAAACTGTAAGTAACAATACAAATTAATGTAGTTCACTGAGATTTGATCGAAATGAATATTGACAAGCTGATGTGATGATGTGACCATAGTGAGTCTTTTTATTTCTGCACAGACTGAAGGTGAACAGGACCTAAACTACGCTGCACTACCTTTCTCTGAGGGGAAAGCTAGGAAAACAAAGAGGAACAAAATTGTCAACAGTGAAGAAAGTGTATATTCTCAGGTTAAAATCTCAACACGACCGTGTGTTTCTTCAGTATTGTTAGAAGCTCCCCATTTCTAACTGTCAGGAAAAACTTATGTTTCATTTGCATGATAAATAAATCATGATCACAATTAAAACAGGATGGAGTTTCATGTTTGTGACTTGATGAGATCATGTGCCTGTTTGAATGATTTTCTTTTAAAAAAATATCTGTAAAGAAAATATACTTCTTATTATTTTCTGTAAATATAATGATCTTGTTTTAAAACCTGTTTACCATAACTGTGAAATAATATTAAGACCGCAAAAAAAAAAAAAGTGAAACTTGTATGTGTCTAATGTCTTTTTATTGGGGATGACACAGTGGGACATCATCAACATAAACATATTAAAAAAAACACATGACTGGTCATGGCAATTGTTCAGGCCGTTATGCCTCTTCTTTTTTCTGAGGCGGTGCCCACTTAAAAGTATTGGTTACAGTAACTGGAAGAAACAGAGGAAATGAACAACAGAGCCCAAACGCCACAAACAGAATAATATTTTATTTTAAAAGGTTTTATGCTCTCCCAATGTATGTTTGGCTTCTCACCATGCACTCCCATTTCCTCTCATTTTCTAAAAACACTCCTTGATTCTAACTCAACTCTTAGAGTGAGCACAAGTGTGTGTGGTTGATGATCTGTGCCCCACCACCGGTGAAACCAATGAAACCATGAACTAAAGGTTTCAAAGGCTGTATGCTCACCCGAGGTATGTTTGGATTCTCTCTATGCAATCCCATTTCCTCAAGGCAAAAGTGACATTGCAGCATTGATACACCGACTGAACCTCTGTCACTCTGGAAAAAGCACTACATATAAAAATGAATAAGTAAAACTACATCAGCTATTTGTAGAATCAAATAGAATTTGAGATCAGCATTTTTAACAGGGCAATAATCAATGTACATTTCTCTTACCACAAGGGTTTCAGGCCAAAGCGAACAAATGCATTTTCCACATAGAAATCTGAGTAGTTGAAGTGATCTCACAAGAGTAAGCTCCACGCTCGTACATTCAAGATTCAAGCAGCTTTTTTTAAACTGGAGGAGTTTCCTGTGTCTAATTTTCATTACTTAAGAACCTGAAGAGATGGGTGTCCCTCCAGAATTTAATTAAATGTTTTGTAAAGAACCCGGAAAGTTTTAAAGTCTGAATTTAAAGTTAGGCCACCATATTTTCTCGATCCCAATAAAAAACGCTGAATAAACCTGGCCAAACATAGAATCAAAGGTAAATAACATTTTGTCACATTAATTGGCTTAAAGCATCAATATTTCAGTTTTTTTCCCTTTTTTCAGTGTTCATCTCTGCTTAGCCCAACTTGATTAAATCTTCTTTATAAATTATACAAATACAGATTGTATATGTCAGAGCTTTGTGGCAATGAAAAGTGTGCTAAGGAGCCTTGGGGTATAGTATAACAGCTTCAGTGGAAATTTACACAGGTGACAAACATGTTTTTGCATCTTAATGTGTTTTGAAAAAAAAACTTTTCAGGCACAGATTTAACGTACTCGGAAACCCTCCCTAACAGAAAGACTGTCACTTGTGATCCCCACATAAATGTTTCCAAAACCACATGAATGTAGGTCACATCTGAATGTCTGGGTGAACCAGATGTTGAAAGTTGCAAGTCTCCAGTGTGTACTTTACTTTCAAGTGTCTCTGGATAGATGTTGACTTGCAAGCAATGGCACATCAGCAATTAATGCAATCTGTGAATTAAAGAATAGTGCTCAAAAATACATTTGAAAGGATGAAAGAGAACTGCTCTAGCTAAGTAGTGGTAATTTTTTTATACAAGACCATCAAGACACTTTTTATATATCTATATCTATATAAATAAAAACTGACCATTGAGGAGAATCTAACCAAAGGAAAACCATGAATAGTGCTTTCCATCATTATTGTCATGTTGGAATATATTTTCTTTACATATCTTATTAGAAAGTGACTGAAATGACTCACCTGTCAATATAAACAACAGGTAAGTAAGACAGCATATGTTATCGTATCATGGCTTTAAACTCATTGAACTGAATTTACAAGTGGATGAGGAAATATGAATTTAGACGTATTTCAGTCCTCAGAACTATTATATTTAACTATTAATGAGGCCAGCAAGATTCAGATTTTTAAACTGGACAAAAACATTTCCAGTAACCTTTCTCGTTTTAAGACATTGCATAATAAAACAGGGTCCAAGGCTCTATTATGGACTGAAGTTCAAATGGACTCAGGAGGACTCAACATAAAAACTACTTGCTAAATGCGATCTCAGATTTGAAGTCCCAAAGTTGAATCCCAAAGCAAAGTTAATATGGCCACAGACAAGATTATGGACCTCAAAATTATGATTCTCGCTGAAAAAAGTTTGATCTAGCATCTGATTTTTTCAAAACACTAAGAATAAATTCTCATTGTGGAGAATTGTTTGCAGATTGAACAGAAGAGAGTGAGTCTGAGAAAGTTTGACTTTTGTCGTTGAGCTAATAATTAATGGATGTCTTATTAAATTTTCCACATAGTTTTAGCTTCCAACTGAAACAGCTTTTTTAAAATTGACTGAAAGACTGCTGTCTTCTCAAAGTGGTATCTTTGTAAAGTATTTAAGTAAGATAGACAGAACGCACTTCTCGTAGAGCAGGATTAGACCAGTAGAGGAGGAAATGTTCTCTGACTGATAACCAATCAGATGCGTTTGATGCTCGTATTCACCACACCTCCTGCTCTTACTTAAATATCAAAGTGTGCATCATTGAGGACAGTGTCAACATGGCTCTGATGATGATTGTTTCGCTGCTTCTCCTTCACCAAGGATGTAAGTTTTGTCGACTGTCTTTACTATAATTAATCATGTATGCATCTTTGCGCAAGTGATCTGCACTGAGGTCTACGTGGCCTAAATGTTTCACATATTCTTTTCTTTTTTTATCCAATGCAGATAGCTTGGTTTCAGATATCACAGTTCCACTCGGTGAACCCGCAACCCTGACTTGTGCTTTGCCTAAAAGATGGTTAGACGTCAAAAGTATTTACTGGTACAAGCAGAGTAGCGGTGATAATCTGAGACTCATTTCGGTGATTTGGAAAAATACAAACTCCACATACGGACCAGGATTTTCTGCCAAAAAACTGAAGACAAGATGCCGTGAGAAATTTTGCAATCTGACCATTTTCAAGACAGTTCATGATGATGAGGGGATGTACCACTGTGCAGTCATTGACTGGATTGAGAATATATGGAGTGGGATCTATTTGTCACTAAAAGGTAGTTTTATGTATTATCATTACCTTTTAGATGTTTTCTTTTAAGGTTGTTTCAAACACATACATGCTTACAGCCATAGTGGATATGCTTCATAATGACTCAAAACAAATGGGACCAAAAGAGCTTAATGTTTAAAAAAGCATTTGGTATCAACAGGACTATATTTCCACAGTTACAAAATACAGTGAATGTGCATAATCTTGATTATATGACTGAGATAAAAAATACGATGGAAAAGTCTTTCTTTATTATTCTTATATAACATTTTCCAAATATTTGCATCTGCTTTGCATTATGTAGGAAACAATCAGAGGACCAAAAACTACACGGTTGTCCGGCAGTCAGCAGTTTCAGATCCAGCTGGTTCAGGAGACTCAAACACCCTGCAGTGTTCAGCCGTCTCTCACTCTGAGAACCAGACGTGTTCAGATCTCAGTGTGTTCTGGTTTAAAGATGTATCACAAAACTCTCAGCCAGACATTATCTACTCTGACAGAAACAGACGTAATGGATGTCAGAAGAGAAGTGGTACTCAGAAGAGATGTGTGCATCACTTCTCTAAGAGCATCAGCTCCTCTGAAGTTGGGACTTACAACTGTGCTGTGGCCACATGTGGAGAGATATTATATGGAGATGGACCCAAATTGGAACCTGGTATGATTTTGTTTGTGACTCTTGGCTTTATTTTCATAATGCCTTGATGCAATAATAATCCAATAAATTGAAATCCTTCAATGCTTTTTTCCTTGTAGATCAGCTGCCGAGCTCTAAATTCACTTTGCTGATGGTCGTGATAACGTGCTTGACCATTTCTGTGATCGTAAACGTTGTTTTTGTCTTTTACGGATTGCTAAGAGCAGCATGTGATCAAACCAAAGGTAGGTACACTTATTATAAAGTAATACCAACTGTGATTAGTTTGCTGTCGTCTAACACAAGAAACAAAGTAAAATGTGTATGTTTGTTTCAAGATTATTAATCATCACTTATGAATCCTTTAGGGATGGAAGGTACATCTTTACAGGAAAGGCATGACGACTTGCGCCAACAGAGAGATGATATTGTAAGTATTGAGATCAAACGATGTTCATATTTAGT